CCAGGACCCTGAGATCATGACCTGAGCCAAAGGCAGAGGCTTAACCCACTGAGCCACCTAGGTGCCCCAGGATTTCATTTTTTGATGGCTGAGTAGTATTCCACTGTTATATGTACACACACATATACACACACACCATATCATCTTTATTCATCAGTGGACATCTGGGCTTTTTCCAAAATTTGGCTACTGTGGACATTGCTGCTATGAACACTGGGGTGCACGTGCCCCTTCACTACATCTGTATCTTTGGGGTAAATACCAGTAGTGCAATTGCTGGGTTTTAGGGTAGCTCTATTTTCAACTTTTTGAGGAATCTCCATACTGTTTTCTAGAGTGTCGGCACCAGCTTGCATTCCCACCAGCAGTGTAGGAGGGTTCCCCTTTTTCCTCTTCTTTCCAACACCTGTTGGTTCCTGAGTTGTTAATTTTAGCCATTCTGACCGGTGTGAGGTGGACTCTCACTGGGGTTTTGATTTGTATTTCCCTGTTGCCAAGTGATGTAGAGCATTTTTTTCATGTGTCTCTTGGTCATTTGGATGTCTTTGCAGAAATGTCTGTTTGCATCTTCTGCCCATTTCTTGATTGGATTGTGTGTTCTTTGGATGTTGAGTTTGATAAGTTCTTTATAGATTTTGGATGCTTGCCCTTTATCTGGTAAGACACTTGCAAATATCTTCTCCCATTCTATAGGTTGTCAAAAAGGGTAAAAAATGATTTAAAAGAAACTAAACTTTATATTGCTCTATTATGAATGTGGATATAAGGATGTAACCATGGCTGATGGGGACCCAGAAACAGAAGCATTTGAGGACAAGTTGCCCCTTCCCACAAGAGATAAAAGAAGTCAATGACTTCTTCAAGTGAGAGAATAATTAACAGAAGGAACTTTTTTTTTTTCCTAAACATTACTGTCCATCCCAGACAATAACAGATCTTTATATCTGGAACTAATGGCTCCAACAAATTTTCAGGGTTCCCTCTTTTGTCTCAAGATATCAAGGGCCATTTCACTAACAGAGCCGCTGTGGTCACGGACTACAAGCCTCTGTGTTACTGAGCTAGCTGGCAGCTGGCCTTGCTTTCAGAATTTGTTTCTTCCCCTAAGTCCAAGGGATCCTGGGGGAATACTAAGAACTGGCTCGCCTTCATGGGCATGGGCCTGTGGGTAAGGCAGCTGTGCAGCCCTTTGCTTAGAGCAGACTTAGGTTTGGTCTGAAGCTCTGCCTTCACCACCTTGAAATTCTTAATTTTTTAACAAAATGATCCACATTTTGATTTGCACTGGGCCCCCAAAATTATGTTGCTGATCCTGCTGATAATTGCAATTCCATTATAGTGCATTTTCTATATGCCCAGAGTCATCATCACATTTGCTGCTTACAAAAATGCTGTGGGCGGGACTACAAATCATCCTCATGTGACAGATGTAGCCCCTACTTCTCCCACTAGGCAAGTCTTGCCTATACTTCCTCATGTATGGGCTTCCTGTTCAAGAGCCCCACACACACATAAATCCCACCATATCCAGAGTACTATCTGAATTACTAGTATTTTCTTTTGAATCAGTTCACTTCTTTTAACCTAAATATATCTTAAAAGATATATTTACATTACATTACAAATATATCTTAAAAGATATATTTACATTTATATTTATATATCTATCCCTGCCCTAAGTTACCAGTTTTTATGCAGGAAAGGTGACTATAAAAATAAGCACAATTGGGGCGCCTGGGTGGCTCAGTGGTTAAAGCCTCTGCCTTCGGCTCAGGTCATGATCTCAGGGTCCTGGGATTGAGTCCCGCATCGGGCGCTCTGCTCAGTGGGAAGCCTGCCTCCTCCTGTCTCTCTCTGCCTGCCTCTCTGCCTACTTGTGATCTGTCAAATAAATTTTAAAAAAAATCTTAAAAAATAAGTACAATGGAAACAAATCCATGTCCTTGAAGCAAGCTGGGTGCCAATGCCCCCCTCCCCACCAGGTGCTGCCCCTAGGCCTGCTCTCTGGTAAGTGCAGAGATTTTGCAAGTGCAGGGAGGTATTAAAGATGCAAAAGGAGGCTTGCTGCTTGGTCTAAGATGGAGAACTGGAGGACACAGATGTTCTGTCTCAGTGACCTGAGTTGTCTGTGGTACAGTGAGTTTATCTGTCCTCTGAATTCAGCACAGACAAGTTAGGTTCTTAACCAGCATAGAAGGAAGTGGCAGGGGGTATACAGAAAGCTCAGAGTTCCTGAGAGATGACTGCACTCCATTCCTTAGGTACAGGTCCCCAAGGGCCTTTAGAACAGTGTCTCTCACGCCTGACTGCTCGTCAGGATCGCCTGTGGAATTTTTGAATTCCAGGGTCCACCCCTGATCACCTGAATGAGGCTGCCCTTGCTCCAGGCACTTTGCTCTCCCCTGGGCAAGGGCTACAGGGAGCTTCACCCAAGGTCCCCTCCCACTGGCCCTGAGCTTCAGATGGAGCTCTGTGTCATCCTGCCCCTGGCCACTTGTGGATCTTCCGGGCAGGAGCAGAGAATGAGAATGACTGGCACCCCACTTTCCTTTCTCCCGCAGATGTTACGCTTCTAGTAAAGTTCCTTAAAGAAATCCCAGAGGGCACACTGGTGCTGGTGGCCTCCTATGATGACCCAGGAACCAAGTAAGTGGGAACCTCCACCTGACCAGCTATGGGTTGAAGTGACCCAAATGCTTCCAAGTCCTAAGTGCCTTTTCCCCACTCCTCCTCTGGCTCTGTCTTCTGGCAGCTTCTCCTAGGGAAATAACCAGACCAGTGCACAAAGACGTGTTCCCCATCACAGCCTCAGTTACAGCTTTGGAAAACTGGATGCACTGGCTGTGTCCATTAGAGACCAAGTTGTTACATAAATTATGACACATGTTGATATGACATTATATGTGCATAGAAGAGGACCCTCATCAAAAATGATGAAGTAGAAAATTTAAGGATGTGGAACAATGCTCACCCTTTAGTATTAAGTGGGGAAAAAAACAGATTATAAATGCATTGGTATGACCCTCCCAGGGCATGGGGAAAAAAGACATTAAGGAAATATACATGAAAGTATTACAATGATTATGTCAAGTCGGGTGAGACTGTAATTTTTAGTTCCTCTGTGATGGTCTATATTTTCCAGATAAACATGTGTATTTGTAAACAGATGCAAAACCGTACTCATAGCCACTCAGCCCTAATCCCCCTGAATGCTGCTCTGCCCAGCATGGCAGCTGCACCCAGTGGGCAGAGGGGAGGCCAAGTGCTTGAGAACCTGCCTCTTCTCCCACCCCTCCACCTCACTGTCCTTTCTGGTCCTCTGCAGAATGAATGATGAGACCAGGAAGCTCCTCACCAACTTGGGCAGTTCCTATGCAAAGCAGCTGGGCTTCAGAGATAGCTGGGTCTTCTTAGGGGCCAGAGACCTCAGGGATAAAAGCCCTTTTGAGCAGGTGAGTTCCTGGTGGCCTCTTCATCCCAGTGAGGCAGGTGGGGGTAAGGTGCCAAGGATGGATGGACAAGGACTGGGGTGGCTGGGGAGGACACTGTGGGGACCTCAGAGGTCAGGGTGGCCCGACTGGCTAATCCCCTAGCAGAAAATGGACTTGACCATTTTGCAAGGAGCTGGGTCATCTGTAAGTGGGTAAGTACCAGAAAGGAGAAGGAAAAGGAGAAAAGAAGGATGAGGGAAGTGAGGAATGGGAAAAAGAGAAAGGAATGTAGGGATGAAGCCTGCATGATGGGCAGAGCAGGGGGCAGGACGTCTGGCTTCTGGTCCCAGTGGAAACCTAAGCCCAGCCCCTTCTGTCTCTCTACTCCCCTGCCCCAGGCCTCAGGCCTCCCCACCAGAGGGGAGAGGTTTAGACCAGGGAAGCTGTCCCCTTCTAAGCTCCCTGTAGAGAGGATAAATTTACATCAAGAGGAGGACAGAGGGAGAACCTGGGTGGCTCACTCTTTGGGCATCTGCCTTCGGCTCAGGTCATGATCCCAGGGTCCTGGGATCAAGCCCCGCAATGGGCTCCCTGCTCAGCGGGAAGCCTGCTTCTCCCTCTCCCACTACCCCCTGCTTATATTCCCTCTCTTGTCTCTGTTTCTCTCTGTCAAATAAGTGAGTAATGTCTTTTTAAAAAGGAGGACACAGGAGAACCTGCCTGAGTCCACGGGAGGGGTCAGGCGTGGTCCATGACTTGTGGCCCCACAACTACCACCCAGGCCCCAAGCAGAGTCTGGAGTCTCAGGAGTGCTCAGGGGAGGAAAAGGGAGTCCGTGAAGGGGTGGGAGCCTCCAGGGAAATGCTGCACCTTCTCTCCCTGTCCCCCATCTGTGTATCCCAAATCAGAGCAATTCCCAAATGTGGGAGAACTAGCCAGATCTTCTGGGGCCTGAGGTAGCCTGCAGTCTGGTGGTGAGAATGTTGAGCTCTGCCCAGATCCCAAGGCAGGCAGCTAAGAGTCGATGATTCAGACACACCGTAGGACTACTGAGGAGACTGGACGCTATCCTGAAGGCAGTGGGGAGCCATGGAGGGCTTAAGCAGAGAAGAGCGTTTGGAGACATGAGAAACACTAGTATTCAGCCAGCACTGACTCTGTGCAGGCTCTGGCTGAGCAAGGTACCTGCAGCACCGCCTTTAATAACGCAATGAAGCAGATACAGTTCTCCTCCCACCCCGCCGCTGCCATCTTGAGGGTCCGGAGCAGAGCAGAGGTTTTAGCCAGCTTGTCTGGACCTGATGTGGGTATAGCTCTCATCCAGGTCTGCCGGCCTCCACGGAGGTTCCCATCCCCATGTTCTCAGCACAGCCTCCCTGGCTGAGCACAGGGAGAAGGCAGGGAGGAGGCCCAGGCAGTAGTCAGACCAGGGGCACAGCAGCCTGCAGGGGAGGGGCTGAGGGAGGCAGGGGAGGGACTGCGTCAAGACTCCCGGGTGGGGGAACCATGATGGGCTGCAAGGGATTTTGCCTTGTCTGGAAGATACTGGCCTGGTTAGTCTGTGTGAGTTTCTAAGAGCATGAACTCAGGTCGTTGGATATTACTTTTTAAAAATGATAATACAAAGTAGCTTATGCTGGAGGAGACAAGGAGGGAGCCCTCTGGTTATAGCCTCTGGGTGAAGAACACAGGTGGGGGTGGGGACAGGGGAGGGGTGGAGGAGAGAGGATAGACCCATCACCCGGAGGGCAGTGGGGACCAAGATGTGATGGAAAACATTAGGTCCTTTGTTCCCGTACATGGGGCTCTGGGTTTTAGAGATGCAGCATCTAGAATTTCTTTTATCCCTAAGGGTTAGCTACAATTATTCCACTGGTAGGTTTTGCTATTTACATTTTTTTTTTCCTCCAAAAACTAAGCATAGGCACTTTAAACACAATCTTAACTGATTTTATTCTCTCTATATTTATTATTAATACTAATATTACACAGAGGTTCTGCCCCTGGGGTAACTTTGGCCCTCTGTGCCTCAGGTTCCCCATCTGCAGAATGGAATGGTCATGGTATGGGCCTTCTTAGGGCTCTTGTAAGGAATAAATACATAAGGCACTTTGCACCTGGCATAGAGCAAGTGCTCTTTTCATTGTTGTGGTGGTGGTTTGGGGGTGTCCTAGAGAGGCTGATGGAGAATTTGGCAGAGGAGCTAACACTCTGCCTGCCTGCCCCCCAGTGCTTGGTACCCCCCTCCCCAGGGCACAACCGGCAAGGACTGAGCTCTGACCTCCTCTGTAAAACCTTGGGCATGTTGCCGTCCCTCTGTGCCCCAGTTTCCCCACCTGTGAAATGGGCTGGTCCTATCTGACCCCACCACCTCCCCTTGGGGCTGAAACCAGGGTGAAGTGCGTGAAGGCAGGATGTCTTAAAAAGCACAGTGAAAACTCAGGTGTGAATCTTGAACAGCCTCCCCCATGGTCCACGTTTCTCTTCTCTCTCTCTCTAGTTCTTAAAGAACAACCCAGACACAAACAAATACGAGGGCTGGCCGGAGCTGCTGGAGCTGGAGGGCTGTGTTCCCCAGAAGGTATATTAGGGCAGCTGCAGGACTGAAGAAGCCCCCTCGCTGTCCTAGAGTCAACGCCAGCTGCGGCTGCAAGAAGGAAACCAGGTGGCCTGTGGAAAGTTCCCCCGGGGGTGGGGGTGGGCAGGGGGCCGTGCCCTCTGCACACCTCTCCTCTTCAGAAGCAGCACCCTCCCAGGGGCTGCGGCAGCCCAGCCGAGGTGGCCAACCATCAGGGGTCCTTCCGGAGCCCGTCTGCAGGAAGAAGGAACGGTGTGCTTTCCCTCAAGATGACCGGCGGTCACCCCCAAGGAAGGACAGACTGCCGCACCTGTGGCTCACCATTAAATTTTATTTTTGTTGATTTTGAATGAACTTTCTGACCTTTCCATGGGATCAAACTGACCCAGGCCATGTTGGCTCGGGCGCAAGTGGGAACAGGTCAGTGACAGCTTCAGGTCCCAGGTTAGGCTGCTGGAAGACAGGTTGATTTCCTAGGGATTACGAGGAAGGGTGAATGAATGACTCCTTGGCTCCCGGCATGAGAGGTAAGTCCCACAGAAGCAGAGAGAACCGGAGGAGAGGACACTGAGCGTGTTGTCTTCCCCTGCTGCTTGATGAGAGCTGGAGGCTCCAGAGCCAGGGAAGGGGAGGCAGGCACCGTCTGAGGAAGGCTGGGAGGAAGAGGCAGGCTGTCAGGCAGGCTTCAGGGAGGGGGTCATGGCCGCCTTCATCTTGGAGTGGTTCCCCAGGAGTAGCCCCTGAGATTTGTTCAGGAGGTGATTCTGAAAAACACCAGTGGGGTGGGGAAGGAAGATGGAGAAGGGAAGGCAACCAGTAGAGGCTGTGTTGTCGACTCTCTTAGGGCTGTGCGTGAGGGGAGCCTAGTTCCTCGAGGCCTCCTGGGAATCCGCGAGTACACCTATCAGAGATCTCTGAGCCAGGGGGAGGGAGGTGAGCTGCTTATGCACCACCCTGTCACTGCTGAGGAGCTGCTAGCGCTGGGGCTGATGGGAACTCCTGAGCACTTCTTGTCTGCACTACAGAAGAAAGTGTAGCTGCAGTGTGAGCCCTTAGCCAAGAGACATTGACACCAGCCACTGGAGCCCACGGAGGTGGTAAGGCTCAAGGGACATGGTACAAACACCCTGCCTGAGGTGTCTGAGAAGGGCCATGGGTGGCGTGGCTAGACCAAATCCTGGGAGGGGGACATGGAGGCAAACAGGACTGATAACCGGGCTCCTGGGTGTGGAGCAGGGAGACCACAAAACTCCCATGGAAGTGCAAATGCCCTGAGCAGTGGACCACCAGACACTCAGGTCCTGCATACAGGGATGTGGGGCCCTGGGGATGGGCAAGGCTTCCAGTGTGCCCAGAGGGTCTAGGGTAGAGAGGAGGACAACAGTGTGGGACCCTTCAGCCAGGGGCCATGGTGGGCTGGAATTTGGGCTACAGTTGCAGTGGGGTTGAGATGGGTATTCAGAGCCTAACAGACCAACTCTGAACAGGCTGGGTTGAGGAAGTCTAAGGAGGGCACCCAGCCAGCCGCCACCATGCCCAATCCCATTACCCTGTTGTTCCCAGGGCAGATCACTCTCAGGGATTAAAGGGGGAGTTTGCTGGCAACCCCCCACTAACCCTTATGCAGACATTCACATTTGTGTGGTGTAGAATGCCTGACGGCCGCATACACAAACAAATGTGCTCCATTCCTGCCATTTTGTTCCAAGACCATCAGTGCTACACAGGGCTGCCGCTGAACCTGGTCACCCTCCTTCCCCAGTCCCTGGGACAGAATGGGGCCTTTCTGCAGTCCCTGGACCCTGATGGTGCCACTTCTTTTCTCTTGGCTGACTTATATCTTTTTTTTTAAATTAACATATAATGTATTATTTGTTTCAGGGGGACAGGTCTGTGATTCATCAGTCTTACACAATTCACAGCACTCACCATAGCAGGTACCCTACCCAGTGTCCACCACCCAGCTCCCCATCCCTCACAACACTCCCTCCACTCGAGCACCCCTGATTTTGTTTCCTAATATTGAGCCTCTTATGGTTTGTCTCTCTCTGGTTTTGTCTTGTTTCGTTTTTCCCTCCCTTCCCCTATGATCCTCTGTCTTGTTTCTCAATTTCTTCATATCAGTGAGATCATATGATAATTGTTTTTCTCTGATTGACTTAATTTCACTCAGCATAATACCCTCTAGTTCCAACTACGTCATTGCAAATGACAATATTTCGGGCTTTTTGATGGCTGCACAGTATTCCATTCTATATATATACCAAATCTGTTTTCTCCATTTATCTGTGGATGGACATCTAAGCTCTTTCCATAGTTTGGCTGTTGTGGACATTGTTGCTATAAACATTGGGGTGCACGTGCCCCTTCGGATCACTACGTTTATATCTTTGGGGTAAATACCCAGTAATGCGATTGCTGGGTCATAGGGTACTTCTATTTTCAACTTTTTGAGGAACCTCCATACTGTTTTCCAGAGTGTTTTCACCAGCTTGCATTCCCACCAACAGTGTAGGAGGGTTCCCCTTTCTCTGCATCCTTGCCAACATCTGTTGGTTCCTGACTGGTTAATTTTAACCATTCTGACTGGTGTGAGGTGGTAATCTCACGGTGGTTTTAATTTGTATTTCCCTGATGCCAGGTGATGTTGAGCATTTCTTCGTGTGTCTATTGGCCATTTGTATATATCTTTGGAAAAATGGCTGTTGATGTCTTCTTCCCATTTCTTGATTGGATTATGTGTTCTTCAGGTGTAAGTTTGATAAGTTCTTTATGGATTGTGGATTATGTGTTCTTCGGGTGTAAGTTTGATAAGTTCTTTATGGATTGTGGATACTAGCCCTTTAATATGTCATTTGTAAATATCTTCTCCCCCTCTGTTGTCTTTTGGTTTTGTTAACTGTTTCCTTTACTGTGCAAAAGCTTTTGATCTTGATGAAGTCCCACTAGTTCATTTTTGCCCTTACTTCCCTTGCCTTTGGCAATGTTTCTAGGAAGAAGTTGCTGTGGCTGAGGTCCAAGAGGTTGCTGCCTGTGTTCTCCTCAAGGATTTTGATGGATTCCTGTCTCACATTGAGGTCTTTCATACATTTTGAGTCTATTTCTGTGTGTGGTGTAAGGAAATAGTCCAGTTTCATTCTTTTGCATGTGGCCGTCCAATTTTCCCAACATCATTTGTTGAAGAGACCGTCTTTTTTCCATTGAATATTCTTTCCTGCTTTGTTGAAGATTAGTTGACCATAGAGTTCAGGGTCCATTTCTGGGCTCTCTATTCTGTTCCATTGATATATGTGTCTGTTTTTGTGCCAGTACCATACTGTCTTGATGATGACAGCTTTGTAATAGAGCTTGAAGTCCAGAATTGTGATGCCACAAGCTTTGGTTTTCTTTTTCAACATTTCTCTGGCTATTCAGGGTCTCTTCTGGTTCCATACAAATTTTGTGATTATTTGTTCAGTTTCTTTTAAAAACGTTGATGGTATTTTGATAGGGATTGCATTAAATGTATAAATTGCTCTAGACAGCATGGACATTTTAACAATATTTGTTCTTCCAATCCATGAGCATGGAATGTTTTTCCATTTCTTTGTGTCTTCCTCAGTTTCTTTCATGAGTATTCTATAGTTTCCTTTTTTTGACCATGAAATAGCTTTTTTAAATTTAATTTTTATTAACACATAATGTATTTGTTTCAGGGGAACAGGTCTGTGATTCATCAGTCTTACACAATTCACAGCACCCACCATAGCAGGTACCCTCCCCAATGTCCATAACCCAGCCACCCCATCCCTCCCACCCTCCTCTCCTCCTACAACCCTCAGTTTGTTTCCTGAGATTAAGAGTCTCTTATGGTTTGTCCCCCTCTCTGGTTTCATCTTGTTTCATTTTTCCCTCCCTTCCCCTGTGATCCTCTGTCTTGTTTCTCAAATTCCTCATATCAGTGATATCATATGATAATTGTCTTTCTCTGACTTATTTTGCATAGCATAATACCCTCTAGTTCCAACCATGTTGTTGCAAATGGCAAGATTTCAGGCTTTTGATGGCTGCATAGTGTTCCATTCTGTTATATATACCATCATTCATCTGTTGATGATCTAGGCTCTTCCCATAGTTTGGCTATTATGGACATTGCCGCTATAAACATTGGGGTACAGGTGCCCCTTCAGATCACTACATTTGTATCTTTGGGGTAAATACCCAGTAGTGTGATTGGTGGGTCATGGGGTAGCTCTATTTTCAACTTTTTGAGGAACCTCCATACTGTTTTCTAGAGTGTTTGCACCAGCTTGCATTCCCACCAACAGTGTAGGAGGGTTCGCCTTTCTCCGCATCCTCGCCAACATCTGTCATTTCCTGACTAGTTAATTTTAGCCATTCTGACTGGTGTGAGGTGGTATCTCACTGTGGTTTTGATTTGTATTTCCCTCTATAGTTTTCTGAGTACAGATTCTTTGCCTCTTTGGTTAGATTTATTCCTAAGCATCTTATGGTTTTGGGTGCAATTGTAAATGGGATCGACTCCTTAATTTCTTTCTTCTGTCTTGCTGTTGGTGTATAGAAATGCAACTTTTGTAGCAACATGGATGGGACTGGAAGAGATTATGCTGAGTGAAATAAGTCAAGCAGAGAGAGTCAATTATCAAATGGTTTCACTTATTTGTGGAGCATAACAAATAACGTGGAGGACGTGGATATGGAGAGAAGGGAGTTGAGGGAAATTGGAAGGGGAGGTAAACCATGAGAGACTATGGACTCTGAAAAACAACCTGAGGGTTTTGAAGGGGCAGGGGGTGGGAAGTTGGGGGAGCCAGGTGGTGGGTATTAAGGAGGGCACGGATTGCATGGAGCACTGGGTGTGGTGCAAAAACAATACTGTTATGCTGAAAAGAAATTAAAAAAAAAAAATTGCAACTGATTTCTGTGCATTTTTATATCCTGCCACTTGACTGAATTCCTGTATGAGTTCTAGAAGTTTTGGAGTGGAGTCTTTGGGTTTTCCACCTAAAGTATATCATCTGCAAAGAGTGAGTGACTACTTCTTTGCTGATTTGGATGCCTTTTCTTTCTTTTTGTTGTGTGATTGCTGAGGCTAAGACTTCTAGTCCCATGTTGAATAGCAGTGGTGATAGTGACAGCCCTGCCGTGTTCCTGACTCTAGGGGAAGAGCTCTCAGGCTTCTCCCATTGAGAAGGATATTTGCTGTGGGCTTTTCATAGATGCCCTTCATGATATTGAGGTTTGTACCCTATATTCCTATACTGTGAAGAGTTTTAATCAAGAAAG